CACAACTGTAAAATGAGAATAATAACAGCAACTTGAAGGGTAATTATGAGGATCAATGAGATAGTATTTATAAAGTGTTTAGTACAGAGCCTGGTACTTAGTAGGTGCTATATAAGTGCTTATTCCCTTCTCTTCATCATCGTGTTCTCTACCAATACACCAGGAACCATAAATCAAATCTAAAATTGCATAATTAGGACAAAATAGCAAAGTTAATAATAAGGAAACAATCCTCCTCTTCCCCTCCTCTCCATCCCCATCCCTTTACACAAATACAAAGGAGTACAATTTCCCACAGACTCCAAAGTGACTTATCGAAGAGGAAATAGTGTCTGGAGAAACTGTCAAGAACAACCAGAATAGATCTGTCTCTCATCAACCAGAGGCTCCCAGCTGCTTTACTCTACCTCCAAAGCTTTGGTTCCTCTCTCTCTCTGAAACTATTGCTTACTGCTCCTCTGCTAAGCTGCCGATGTTATATACTATGTTGTTTCTTCTCCACTGAGATGCCAGAGCTGTTCTCTCGTGGCTGATTTCTTTTTCAAAGAGAGTATGGTGCTCTTATGTGAGACCACCAAGTCAACTTGCCTGAGGCCAATCAACACCTTTTTTGGCTGTTTTATTAGAGGGACATAGTTAAATCCAAATGAAGCACAAAAGGACCCCTGAGATCAGTCTCTCCCTCCTTTTTTGGTAATCTTCCTCCCCTCAAGGGGCTGCGGTTTCCTAGTCGTCCTAAGATTCAGACTGTGATAAGTAAATTCCTTTCAATTCAGCTAGTCCCAAAGCCTTGTAAATTATGCTGAAGTGTCTATAAACCTCCAGGAGGTGCTCAGCAAAACTGGGGGTAGGGGATAAAAGTATCATCCTTTACCCCTCATTACTAACACCAAGCCTAGATCCTAGTCAGTACCTCTCCACCAGTTCCTTTCCATAACCTTCCTGGACTCCCTAGTTGGAGAGAGTTTGCAACTAGTTTTTCAAGTATAGTCACAGTATTTCTGTGACTTAGCAGATTCTCTTTAGGATTGATCATCCTATACCCAAACAGGTGATATGCCTCTCTGAACTTAGTTAGCCTAGTTCTCAATGTAACACTCTCTGCAAAAGTCCATTCATGTAGGCTTTTCAGATTGAGCATACGTGAAAGAGCTAGTGATGAATGAATGAATGAAAAGTCATTTGCTAGGTGCTCACTAGACATCAGGTACTGTGCTAAGCACTGGCCATACACATACAAAAGTGAGACAGTCCTCCCCAGAGATGATTACATTCTTAATGGAAGAAACTGTCTTGTTTTTGTGTTTGTATTCTGAGCAGTTAGCCCAGTGCCTAGTACATAGGAATGTTTAGCAAATGCTTTTTCTTTCACTCATTTATTCATTCTTATAGAGGTAGATAACACATATAGGAGAGTGGTGGCCAGTGTCAGTCAAGAACAAATCCAAAACTTTTAAAAGGGTTTTTTTTTAAAGAAAAAAATGATTGTCTTTTAGCAGGGTGGAGAGCTGAGAAATTTGTGACCAGCTTCCCCCTCAGTCTTTGTAAGTTTTATATTATATAAAATCCAAAGAAAGGTGAAATGGCAAGCAGCTGAGTGGCCTACCCCAGGCAGTTTCCAAAAAGAGGCAGTTTCCAGATAAGGCACTTTGGTTGTTTGAGATGTATATCAGCAGGTAAATCTAAACATTCAAAATTTGGGCAAAGCCAAAACACAACCTTTTGGGTAAGGTCCCAACACAAGACCTGGGTAGCATCCAAATATTCCTTGAAGCAATCTCTATGTCCCCTGTAGAGTCTCTGGGGCCAGTTTTACCTACATATTCTGAGTATCCTGGGTTAAGCAATATCTAGACACACAAAGCTAGATTCAAACAATATGATAAATAATAAAATTTTCCCATGTCAGAGAAAGGAGTTTTGGTCCCCCTCCCCCCAAACCAGACCAAAGGTTGATCCAAAGGGTAGACAGTTAACATTGACTTTCTTGAAGCAATGTCAGTATCCATTTAGTTACTTTTTCCCAGAATAGGAAATGGAATGCAGGGCAGTAGGGCAAATTGCAAGATGGTCTGCTTGGACAGTTGGAAGAGATGTGGAGCATAATCTTATTCTCAGATCAGCTAGATGAGTTAGCATACCCTCACCCAACAAGGCAACTCAGCCTCAGGGCAGATGCTCCCAAACTGAGAACATTAACTGTCCCTGGGACTATGGTAAGATCTCAAGTATTCTACTCCTACAGTGTTGGAGGAGACCACAACAAGGCCTTGGAGAAGGATTTTATTAGAGCTTGAATGAATGAAGATCAAGTGTCCCACAGGGGAAAAAAATTACTTTGATGGCCTCCTGGAAATGTTCTAGCATGTTCTAGACACATGCTTAGTCAACAAGTATTTAAATACTTGTTGAATTTAAATATGTGAATGAAAGACACTTGATAATGAATAAAGTGCTGGACTGGAAGCCACAGAAAACCTGGGTTCATATCTTACTTCTGACACTGTGGATGATTCAGTTAACCTCTCAGTGCCTCAAGCAAGTCCCTAGACTTTATCTATTAAGTTGGGTCACATCTAGTTGAGAGAGTTCACACACTGGGGTTTCCTCAAGCTTATGAAATCACAGATTCATCAAACATAGGCCCAATGTTGTACTATGCCTTTACTTCCAGAAAGAAGTCTCATTTTCCTTGACTTTGAAAGGAGAAGATTGGACTAGATTTCTCTATGTTCTCTTCAAGCTATGATTCTAAGTAAAAAACATGATCTCCATCCTTACAGAACTCTTAATCACTACTTCATACCTATTAGATTGGTTAATAATGTAGAAAAGGTAAATGACAAATGTTGGAGAGGATGTGGGAAAGGGGAGACTTTAATGCATTGTTGTTGGAGTTGTGAACTAATTCAACCATACTGTACAGCAATTTGGAAGTATGCCGAAAGGGTTATAAAAACATGCATACTCTTTGACCTAGCAATACCACTACTTGGTCTGTATCCCAAAAGAGATAAAAAACTAAAAGGAAAGGGACCTGTATGTACAAAAATAATATAGCAGCCCTTTTCTGGGGGTAAAGAATTAGAAGTTGGGGGGAAGCCCATCAACTGGGGAATGGCTGAACTGATTGTAGTATATGATTATGATGGAATACTATTGCACTATAAGAAATGATGAGCAGGATGCTTTCCAAAAAAGTGGAAAGACTTGCATGGACTGATGCAAAGGGAAATGCACTGTGTACAAAGTAACAGCAGTATTGTAAGATGATCAGCTGTGAATGACTTAGCTATTCTCAACAATACAATGATCCAAGACAACTCTGAAGCACTTATGATGAAAAATGCTATCCTTCCCCAGAGAAAGAACTGATGGTATCTGAATACAGATTGAAGTATACTTCTCTTTTTTACTTTCTTTATTCTTCTTGAGTTTTCTTGTCTGTGTTTTCTCTCACAACATGACTATTATGGACATGTTTTTCACCACTACACATGTATAACCTATATCAAATTGTTTGCCTTCTCAATGAGAGGAGTAGGGAGGGAGGAAGGGAGAGAATTTGGAACTCAAAGTTTTAAAAAACAGATGTTAAAAATTGTTTTAACATGTAACTGGGGAAAAATAAAATGTTAAGTAATCTTTAAAAAAAAGAACAGACTCATGGGGGAGGGGAAAGAACTCAATCAAGGAGAGGAAAGAGAACTAAATTGAGAATCAGAAGATCTAGGTACTAATCTTGGCTCTGTCACTGACTGGTTATGTGGCCTTGGACAAGACGCTTCATCCATCTCTGTTTCCTCATCCATAAAATTGAAAAAGTTGAACTTACTAGGTGATCTTCTAAGATCACTTCTCGTTCTAACATTCTAAGAATGCTGGAGTTTATCTTTTGTCATTCAAAACGAGACAGAGGTAATGCTTCCCCTCAGGCCTGTATAGGTGTAGGATGGATATTGACTTTAAGGTTTTCCTTCATCCTATTATTTGTTCTTTCTCTTGAGTTATAAAATGTCCACAAAAATCTTAAAGAAAAAAGAGAGGTATTTGAAGTTGATTTCTGAAAAGAATGTTATCGAAGTTGAAGAAGAAAAGTCTGAGGGGGAAGTTTAATAAAGGATATGGAGCAAGTCTGTACTCAGCAGAAGGGAAAATTCATTCAAATCACAGTGAGGGGTGTGTGTGTGTGTGTGTGTGTGTGTGTGTGTGTGTGTGTGTGTACACGGTTGTGCATTGGGGTGGGGAAAAGGAAAGGGGGACGAATTAAGATAGATATCAGCAAGAAGTCCCCAGAAGTACCGGTTGTTAAGCACAGGCACAGCTAACCAGGCCAAAGAATTAGATCTCCTTTCCTGGAGGTACTTAAGATGTCTATGACGGTTTACAAAAAGCCAACCTTAACACCAGAGAACAGATGGGGTGACAATATGATCCATCTCTCCTTCCCCCTCTCATTTTATATCATTCTTCTTTTGCTTACTCCATCTTTTCTTTTCCATTCTATCCTCTTTTTATTGCCCTCCCTGGTCAGTCCTTTCCTCTCTTCCCCTGTTTCCTCCCCATTCACCTCCTCTTCTTCTTTCAGTTCCACATTACTTTTTTCAGACCTCTTTTTCTTTCTTTAGTTTGCTCCATTTCCCTCTTTTTCTCTCCTTAGGTCTATAGAGCCTGTATCTTATCTTTAGATCATTTGTTCCTCTATAAATTCTCTGGGTTTCCTCTCCTGCATCTTCCTTCCTTTCCCTTTCCAGCTTTGCCCTCCAGAAAGCCTATCCTTCTTAGAGAGATGGGTGGGTTTGGGGCCGGAGCCCCGCCCCTTTTGATGCGTGAGTTTGTGTGTGTGTGTGTGTGTGTGTGTGTGTGTGTGTGTGTGTGTGTGTGTGCGCGCGCGCGCGCGCGTGTGTGTGTGTGTCCATGACGCGACAGTGATGGGGAGGGAAGAAGGACAGGGAGGGGAGGGGCGCATTCTACCCGGGCTCCTCCGCTCCCCGCACTCCTTCACTCTCCACCGCCACTGAGGCGCAGGCTGGGCGCAGGCAGTGGCGGGCCGGCATGGAGAGCCTGTTGGAGAACCCGGTGCGTGCTGTCCTCTATCTGAAAGAGCTCACGGCCATCGTGCAGAACCAGCAAAGCCTCATCCATACCCAGCGCCAGCGTATAGACGAACTGGAAAAGCGGCTAGACGAGTTGAGCGCTGAGAACCGCAGCCTGTGGGAACAGCAGCAGCTTCTGCAAAACCATCCTCCGCCTGGGCTGGTCCCCCCATCGCAAGCCCCGCTCCAGGCTTCCCAGGCTTCTGCTACCGCCAGTTCCCCAGAGCCTCCTCAGAACCAGGGACAGCTCTCTACCATCGCCCCACTGCCACCTCTGGCAGTGGCTGCGCCGCCGCAGCAACCACCGCCGCCGCTGCAGCAGCTAACTCAGCACCACGGACAGCTCGCAACACAGCCCCAGCCGGGCCCCAGCAGAGCTTTAGCACCCCAAACAGTCCACCAGCATACCGCGGTCTCCGGAGCCGCTGCCGATAAGGAGAAGGAGCGCCCCCCTTGTTGCACTGCTGCTGGAACCCTCCTCCCCCCACAAACCCCCTGCCGCCCTCGGCAAGGGCGTCCTAGGCAGGAGACCTGAGTGAGTGCAGAAGAGGGGACCAGGGCCACTGGGGAGGGGGACAGTATGAAGAAGGAGAGTCAAGGGAAAAATACTTGGGGGGGGCAGTGAAGAAAACGGGGAGCTTAGGAAGGGGAAGCTGTAGACCCTAAAGAAATTTAAAGTGAAGGGGGAAAGATGGGTTTTTGGTGGTCTAAGTAGGTAGGAGTGTCTCAAAGGGATTTGGAGTGAAGAAGAAAGACGTTAGTGTTTGAAAGAAATGTAGCTATTAGTATTATATTAAGTTGAGATGGGAATGAAAGGCAAAATGGTAGAGTCATCAGTGGTTTAAGGGTATTGAGAGATGGTTGGGTTGAAGGGGTAAGGTTGATTCTGTAGTTGGCAAAGGATAAGGGGTAGCTGGGGGGCATTATCTTGGGGGGAAGAGGATTGATATTAAGGGATTTAGAACTTAGGCAGAAAGATTTAGAAAGGGGCTGGGTCATAAAGGAGTCTGATTATAAGAAGGTGTTTTTATTGAAGAGGTAAAGTGGAAGACATTAGCACGAAGCTAAGGAAAGTAGAATTGGGACATAAGGGGGAATCGAGTAAAGAAGACAGGGAAGGTTATGAGAAGAGAAAAAGAGAACATTGGCAAGCAAGAAGAATATGGTAAGGTAAAGGAGTTGAGAGCAGTGGAAAATGAAGGAAGTAAGCAGGAATTCTCCCAAAATGAAAAACAAAATCAGCTTTCAGATTGATGCAGGGAAAGCAAGAGCAGGTGGCCACTAGCAGTCAAATCCTTTCCCCTGTCTGTGTTGGCACCTTGCCCCTGAAAAATCCAGTAGCCATGAAAAGAGGCTAAAGAAAATCAGCCCACCAAGCCATTTGTAAAGCTGTTCTAGTTTTAGCTGACTATTGCCGACCCAGGGAACCTCCCTTTGTTGATGGAGGAAAGATGTTGAGGGAGATACTTGACAAACAAGGTTGACTCTTGCTGGTTATGCTTATTTGTGCAGTTGGCAGCTACAAATCCTGGTTGCCTCAAATTGAGTTTTCAGATGACCAAAGACCAGAGATGGTCTCAGAAATGAAAGTAATGAAGGCTACAAGCTCTTTTTCTGTCCCATTCAAGGTATCTGGGAACTTCTCTAATATTCCCCTTAGGAAAGACATGAGAAAAGGAACCAATTTATTCTCTCTTCTCTGTCATAAGAAAGGTGCCATGGTATTATGTTCTCTCTACTGAATTAGGCAATGGGAGGACTTTATGGAAGGCACATTCAGGGGATCTTAGCCTTTGATCGTTGAGGGAGTTTGTGTGCATGCATATGTGTGGGGAGGTCAAGGAAGGGATACAATAATTCCTTTTGTGTTCTGCTTAGATTCAGGCACTTGGTGACCAGGAGAATTTGGGGGACTTAATGTGTCTTTTCCTCCCATTCTTGCTCTAAAGTTAAGAAACTTGGGGTTTCACACAGAATCACAGGATCATTGCACCACAGAATATCAGAGTTGAAAAGGAAATCAGAAATCATCTCTAGTCCTACTCCACTTTATAGATGAGGAAACTCAGGAGGCTAAAAAAGTTGCTAAAGGTTTCATAGCTAGTAAGTAGTGGCACCAGGATTCGAACCCAGATCTTTCTCTTTTAAATCCAGGGATTCACTTTAGATCTAAAGGTTAGGAATAATAAAAGGAAGATCTCTTTGGAAGTCATGAGTATTAAGGAGTAATGGGGGTAAAGGCAGGTGAAGGGTCAATGTAAGCAATCCTAGGGCCCTAAAATGAGAAATAAAGGGGAATGGAGAAAGGCGAAATAGGAGAGGGAGAAAGGGAGAAGAACATGGTGTGGAAAGGGAAGGCTGCAGTTGTGGGGTGATACCATTTTCTAAGGCAGCCCACTCCACTCTGGGACAGCTCTAGTTTTTAGGAAATTTTCCTTTATATTGAGTTAAAATCTACTTCCTGTAACTTCTGACCATTTCTCCTAGCCCCCTAGCCTAAGGCAATTCACCTTTGAAATAGACATACAGTTCATTCTTGTCTATTTGAAGCAGAGAAGCCTAGAAGATCTCAGCAACATGGAAGGCTGAGCAATCTGAAGAATTTTGCTCAAGTCCCTGATAGACTCAATTTTCTGCCTCCCATTTTCTCTTTTTCACCCTGGCCTTCCAGTTTCTCCTGTGTCTTTCCTTTTCCATGAGCAATGAAAAGTTTTGTAGAATGGTTTCTCCTCCACATTCATGGCATGTCAGAATGTTGTTTTTAGAGGAGGCTCTATGAGCCAGTCCTGTGGCAGTGTGGGGGAAGGGAATTAATAGGGCCTGACATGCTTTACTGATTGATTTCTTGTCTCTGACGGTTGTTATAGCTTCTTGGTAATTTTGATTCTTGGCCCTGCCTTCTTTCCTTACCTTTGTTTCTTATTGTTGGCCCCAGTCTCCACCTCCTCCTCCCACCCTATTTCTGGAAGTTGCATTGTCAGCAAGGACCCAGAGTCAATGGCTTCCCTGGATTAAGGATCCCTACTGTAGTAGCTAGTTAACCTAGATGGTAGAGGTAGCCCAAATTCTTCCACCCAAACACTGCTGCTGGAAACCCTGGGCTGTCAAACATCTTCCCATTCTATCTTCATCCTCTTGAATATCCTTTCCCCTTCCAGTTTTGAAACAAGTGGTGATTGGGGAGGGGGGACTTGTAAATCACTTCCACTTAGGAAGCTGCCATAGTTTTCTCTAGGAGATAGGGCACTTTCCCAGCTTGTCATGTACTCTGTTTCTGCCCAAAATCAGCCCATCTTCCCATGAAACTGCAACAATCACCTTTTTTTTTTTAGTATTCTCCAGGTATCTCCAGGTACCCATTCCAGTCCCTCTATAATCTGTCCTTGAGATTTTAGCATTCTGCATCTTATTTTGTCCAAATGCCCATGTCCAGTGGTGCAGGATCTAATTTAGGAAGAGGAGCGGCTGTGTGTGTGTGTGTGTGTGTGTGTGTGTGTGTGTGTGTGTGTGTGTCCCCTCTTTCTGAGGTTCTTCCCTGCGGAGTTCTCTGCTGCTGCTGGAATGGTGAAAGGAAGTCGAGGCAAGTTCGGTCATATTTTTCTTTTCTTCCTGCCATCCTGTCATCCTGCTGCAGTTCCATTGGCTTTTGTGGAGGAGAATATTGGTTAGGAAGTTAAGTGAGTATGGGAAACAGAGCTCAAAATGAAACTTATCTCCCCCCCACCTCCAGGTTTCCCCCACCTGCTATATAGGCAGGAGCTTGGGGAAGCCTGTGACTGGGGAAGATAAAGGGCTTCTTCTCTTTCTCCAACTGATTAATCACCCCCTGATCTGTATTAACAAGCAGCTTGAACTTTCTCTTTCCTTCCTTCCTTTGGCTGTTGGAGACACAAAGGAATAAGTTTTGGGGGGTCAGGCACATAACACTTTAAGGATTAAGGGAGTAGAATGATGGGAAAAAGCAGAGTAGAGATGTCATGGAAGGATAGAAGCAGGCAGGAGGAGGATCTAGAGGGTGCAGAGTTCTTTCCATATGCCTTCTGGTTTTGGCTCCCACTATTACAGGCCTCTCAACTAAAGCATGAAAAGCAGTTTGATAATTTTTATTTTTTCAATCAAGATTCCTAACATCCATAGAATTGATTATTCTTTCTTTTCCTGCTGGAATCAGAATCATAGCCTGACATGACAAAGCTCTCTTCTTGTACACTGAGCTGAAAGACTACGGCCTACGGAAGTTGCTAATTTTCTTGCCCTATCTGCCTTGGGCACCATCATGTCTAGGTATGCACATAGAGCCCATTAAAAAACCAGGGCAGGCCTAGATTATAAGGTCTTACAGGCAGGGTACTAGACTAGGGGATAGTAAAATAGTCATGTAATTTGAAGGAGAAGTGAGGAAGATATACTCATCCTATTCTCTCTTTCCACCTCTTCTCTCTCTTATTTTGTCTCTCCTTTTCCCTCTTTCTTCTCCCCTCTACATTTATTTTCTCTTTTCCTCTCTTGTTTTTTCTCTCTCTAGCTCTTCTACCTCTCCCTCCCTTTCTCTTTTCCCTCTTTTTCTATTTTGCACCCTTTCTCTCTCTCCATTTTCTTCTCTTGCCCTTTCTCCTTTTCTCTCCCTCCTTTAGTCCCTTACTTCTTTTTTCTTGTCTTCTATTTATTTTCTCTCTTTCCTTCTCTTTTTCTTTTAGTCTTTCCCTCCTTTCCCATGCCACTTTGTCTTTTAGAGTATTTTTCTTGATGCCTTTCATCTCTATAACATAGTCATTTCTAGAAAAACACCACATCTTTCTAAACTGTAGTCCCACAATGAATCCTCCTTAGTAACAAAGAAAAATAATTAAACAAAATCACCTGTAAGTCTAGTACATACTTCTCTTATGACAATAATACAACTCCATGGGAGGTAGTTTCTACATTTAATACACACTGATATATGTGAGTAATATAAATGATAGATATGGGAAGGATGGTGATGAGTGAGAGGGGAGAGAAGAATCCCTCATTCTATAAATATCCTCACTCATAAGCAAGTTGCTGAATGGGGAAGTAGGTATATAGGAGTGACAACATCTACACCAACAAAGGAATGTAAAATGAGACTTATGTAGTTCCCACAGAGAGCAACTGTTTTTACTTCTTTATTATGGACTGACTCTCTTCTACCACAATGCATTTTTCTTCTCTGGTCTAGGGAGTTTATGATTCACTTCAAGTTATTAATCTTTCTCCATTTACATTCTTTTTTAAAAATCAGTTTCAAGTTGACTAATGAATATAGTTACAGCATGACCAAAATAGTTTGTGAGCTCCAGAGAAGATATCATTACTACATCAACATCTCTTCATTACTCTCACTAGAGCCTGGAGGTATCTCCCACTTTTCCCAGACTGACCAGTTTCCCCAACTTCTATCTAAAATGCTAATGTATGTAACAAGGGTTACTGACCACTAATACATACATACATACATACATACATACATACATACATACATACATACAAACAAATACATACATACACACATAG